CTTATATGCACATCTGTAGATGTAACCAACAGTCTTATAAGAAACACAGAACCAATGTAAAGAAGAAAGCCAAGAGGTCAGAGCTCAGAGCTAAAACCTTACCCTTCCTCCTGCGGTGGTCCTACCTCTCCAAAAAAGAGCTACTTCCTGTATGTTTGTCTTTATACAGTCTTTATGTTCTGCCTTCTCCTTGGTTGTAAACCCAAACACGTGACTGCCTCGTCACTGCCTGTATGTACAGCCCTCCAGGTCTTCTATGGTATTGAGAGTCAAGGCATGTGTCTCCAATGCTGGCTGTATCCTTGACCACACACAGAGATCTACCTAGCTCTTCTACCAAATGCTGGGATTAAAGATGTGTGCCACAAACGCCCAGCTCTGCTATGGCTTGCTATTAGCTCTGACCTCCAAGCAACTTTATTAACATACAATTAAAATCACATTTCAGTACAAATAAAATACCACCATACATGTCTGTGCACCATGTGTGTGCTTGTGCCCATGGAGGCCAGATCAGGATGTCAGATACTCTGGAACTGGAGTTCCAGATGGTAATGAGCCCCATGTGGTGCTGACAACCAAACCTACATCCTCTGCATGAACAGTCAGTGTTCTCAGCCAGCGAGCTATCTCTGCAGCCTTTGGGACTGCTTCAGATTTTGTGCAATGCACCTGCTACGGCTTAAGACAACAGAGTGCATCTGCTTTCATCTTGATCATTTCTAACAGTGCTTGTGGGTGAGTGGCACCTAGTTGTTGTTGTTATTATTGAGACAGGGTCTCACTTTGAAGCCTTATTATTATTATTATTATTATTATTATTATTATCATTATCATTATTATTATTGAGACAGGGTCTCACTTTGAAGCCCTGGCTCACCTAGAACTTACTGTGTATACCAGGTTGGCCTGAGTGCTGGGATTAAAGGCTTTTGCTATCATGCCTGGACTGGCACCTACTGATTTGCTTTGACACAGGGTCATCCTACAGTAGGCCAGGCTGCCCCTTCAATTTAAAATCCTATTGAAGTTTGTACTGGAATTATAGGCATGTGCTACCACACCCAAACTACTACCATTTATTTTTCATGACCTCAATAATTATATCATGTACATGTATTATCTGTGTATGCATTCAGAAGACAACTATGTTGGGTTGATTCTCTCCTTACACTTTTAGTTGGGTTTGGGTAACAACCTCAAGTCGCAGGGCTACAAAGCAAGCACTTCATACCTGCTGAACTACCTACCTCAACGCTTTTTAATTCTTTTGAGATGGGGGTACCTTGCTATACTGCCCAGACTGCCTCAGAAGGCCTAGGCTCAAGTGATCTTTTCCCCTTCCTGGCTTGTCTTCCCCAAGTAAAATTTGGTAGTTGGGACCTGGAAACCCATTTCCTCCTGGGCTTCTGAAACTAGCATAGCCAGTCCGTTTCTCTCCCTGCCAGTGACCACACTGGGGCTTTCTAAGGCTGAATTATAAGAGATAATAGTACGTTTCTCCTGATTTTGGCAGGACAGTTTCTTCTGATGTAGCAGTCATCTGATATTACCACCCCAAATCAGCAGAGATTACAATGTATGAGTCCTATTTCCATTTACAACAGAAATGCTCTGTATACCTTGGAACACTTACTAGAAAACATACAGTAATATTAGAAGGTTTCATAATAATTTTTTTTCTCTCAAGACAAGGTCTCATGTACCCCAGACTGGTCTCAAAATCCGTATGTAGCTAAGAATGGCCTTCATCTTCCTAGCATTAGGGTTACCCTGTGCACCACAGGCCCAGTTGATGCAGTCTTGGAACCAAATCCAGGATTCATCAATCTCTACCTGCTAAGTACAATCTCCCATGCACAAAAATGCCTAAGACACAGAAGGTCTACGTAGGGCAATGGGAAGGGGAGGCTTTACATTGCCAATGTTTACTCCTAAGGACAAAGGCCAGAAGGCAGCTTGTTGGGTGTCTTCTGTGTACAACGGTGATTATAAGTAGACCACTAGGAACGAAGCCAGACTACTGTCCAACCACCATATTGTCTGACCTTGTTTTCATATGTAGGTCAAGAACCAAGGGCTTAATGTAGTTTTATATTTTGGTGGCACTGGTGGTCCATCCCAGGGAATTGCACATGCTAGCCAAGTGCTAAACCACATACAAGAGGTCAGGAGCACACGCACTGTACAGCAATCTAAGAACCCATTCCATCATGTGAAAGTGGGTTGGAAGCTGACCACCCTCAGGTTCTTCAAAATGTCCAATGCTCAGATGAAAAACGAAAACCAATTTTATTTTTATGTGTGCATACAGAGTTTAGATAACAGAGGACAGAAGAGGCCCCTGGGTGCCCTGGGAGCTAGAGCTAGTTGTGAGCTGCTGGATGAGTGGACCAAGCTCAGTTCTCCTGGCAACAGCAGCAACCTCTTATAAGGGCAGAGTCATCTCTCTAGCCCTGATCACCATTTATTTCCCTTATGTATTTATTTAAATATCTGCGGATTCTAAACATGACTTGGGAAACTAGGAACCCTGATGTTTTGACACAGGATCACACACAGCTGTCCTCTATGTAGTCACAGCTATCCCAAACTAATCCTCTCGACTCCCAAGTGCTGGGGTTGTCGACAGGTGCCAACACCTTCAGTCTATGTGATGCTAGGAATGAACCCAGGGTCTTATACTAGTCAAGTACTTTACATCCAAGCTATATCCCCAGGCCTAGAACTTTGTACCTGAATTGTACCAGGGCAGCATATTGTTTATAGCAACTAAACCTGCTTTTTAAGTGAATCTTTACACCATAACAAGCTACATTAGCTAGTCAAAGTGAAGTGCTTTTTAATTTGACTATAGTTTAAGGCATTATATACAATTTCAAAATGATAAAATTTAGAAGTTTGAATCTGCGCTCTTTTCTCCCCAAAGACTCAGAACCATGTGAAAGAAAAGGAAAGAATTTAACAGGAGTGCTGTGACATGCATCTTCTGGACAGGCCATGCCAGAACACACTGTAGCTATGGTTACCTGTAAAAAAAAAAAAAAAAAAAAAAAAAATCAAGCCATGATTAGTCAATGTGTTATTAGTCAAGGTTATCTAGAGGAACAGAACTTGTAGAATGAATATATATTCACACAACAATGGCTGTCTACCCAAAACAGAAGGCCAAAGAATCCAGTAGTTGTTCAGTCCATGAGGCTGATGTCTCAGCTGGTCTTCAGTATGCACTGCAATCCTGAAGAAGTAGGGCTCTAATCCACTGAAGGAATGGACTTGCCATCCAGAGAGAGAGCAAGCTTCCTACTTCTGTGTCCTTTATAGAAGCTGCCAAAAAAAGGCATGGTCCAGATTAAAGGTTTATCTTCCCACCTCAAAAAATATGGATTAAAAGTGCTTTTTCTTACTTCACATGATTTAATCAAGAAAATCCCACAAAGGTATACAAAGCTGCCTGGGTTTGTTAATTCCAGATGCAGTCAAAATGACAACCAAGAATAGCCATCACAGTTACAAAAAATGGGAAATGGAGACATATTGGAGGTGCCTGGGGGAGGGGGAGGGGCAAACTGGGGACGCTATGACCAGTATACATTGTCTCCATGTATAAAACTGTCTAACAATAAATACATCCTGTTAAAAGCAAGTTGGGTCAGGGGAGACAGCCAGTCAGTTAAGTATCTACCTTGCAAGCACAAGAACCCAGTTTGATTCCCAGAAGCCACATTAAAACAAAACAGAACAGAGCTGGGGACGGTGGCTCCTACTTGTAATCCCAGTGCTGAGGAGGGGGAGACTACAGGGTCTCTGGGGCTCACTGGAAAGCCAGACTGGCCTGCTTCTAAGTTCCAGACCAGTGAGACCCCCTGTCTCAAAGAACAAGAGGAACACCCTGAATAACACAGTGGTCTGGACCCAAGCCATCCATTATGACAGCCACTTCCATGTGCAGTCACTGACCATTTAAAATGTGGCCTCTTCAAGTTAGATGTTATATAGGATTTAAGAAAATACAAAAGACCTCCTCCTTATCTACTGAAAGGATATGCACTGAGTTGAATAATTTTTCTTCCAGTTGGGGACTGACTCCAGGACTAAGGAAGCACTCGACCTGACCAATTCTGCTTTTAAATGAGGCCACTAAACTGTCTCACTGGACTGCACTTCTATCAGACAGTATTGCCAGAAGACACTTGTGATCCGACCACGTTTATCAGAATCTTATTCTAGGGGCTTCTGCTCTGTTAAACACTGTAGCCAGTGATGTTTGCTGGCACATGATGCCTGTGATACCACCAACTTAGGAGAATAGTGTAAACACTTGTTCAAAGGGGGAATGAATTGGCAAGGACGAAGGCCTTACAGCATCAGCACCAATACGTCTACTTCCTATTTAAGGAAATATCTGCTGAGGATCCAATAGCTTTTAGGACAGCTCTTTTCCAGGTAATGGCTTGTAACTCAGGGTTTCTGAATGCTTTTGCTGGTGGGATACCAGACTCAGTTACCTCTCAAGAACTAGGGTACAGATTTCTTACATTTTGAGTCAAAGGAGACCTATTATACAATCATGTATGACAACAGACAGAGGGTCCTTTTCCCTTGCTGAGTCACTTGGATGTAAACTGTCCCTAATGTACACTTGCTTTCCCAGTTACATGAGCCGTTTCCTGTGTCTTATGGTTCACTGGGAAGAGGGGCACAGAGAACACAGAGAGGAGAGATACTTAGTTTATCTTCTATCCCTGTAGCTTGTTAGGTATGCATGTGCCCATGTGGGGCTACATTTTCTGCAGTTTGCTTGGCCTTTTAAGGAAACAAGTAGGTACCTATGTTACCATACTCATTTTGTGACTCTTAAGTTGTTTATACCAATGCCAAAGAATACACTGTGAAGGAGTGAGCTTAGTGGTCAGCACCTCAACCCAGCTCTACACCTGCTGCAGCCCACCGCCCCTCCACCCCTTTGCAAACACACCTAACAGGAAACACAACAGATATTTTCAGTGTACATCATACATTTATTACCAACAACCCTCTCAACTCCAAAATTGGGCACAGGGATTAAAAATAAAAATTCATTGCACTACTTAGTAAAGCATTACTAGTAACTTTCATAAAAAATGTACAAACTTTGTTAAAAATTTATCAAGCCTTCAAATGATTTGGTTACAGATATTTATAATACATACATTTAAAACTATGTTAACTGATACAATGGAATATGATTTGAGGAAATGACTGAGCAAATGATTCCAACAAACACCCCTGTGAGCTTTCATAATCTTAAACAAACAGCAACATGAGGTAACCAGATGCATTATGGGGGACAGACTTCTAAAGAAGGCCCAGAGATACTGTGAAAATATTCTCAGAAGCTGGCAGGCAGATTGCACTTGAAATGATCACAAGAGGCCCAATTTTAAGAATTTTAGCAAATTACAGTTCAGGGAGTGTATAAAATCTAATATGCTTTCACAATTTCGGGTTCTGCTAAAAAAAAAAAAATTCAGGACAGAAAAAATCTTAGTATGGTATCTTGATACTTGGAGGCCTTGAGTTGTTTTGTGGAGGCTGGAGTTTTAAAAAAAAGTACAAAATTCAAGCAAAAACCAAAACCCCACACAAACCAAAATAAAAAGCCCAAACCCCAAATCTAAAACTTAAAAAAAAAAAAAAACCAAAACAAACAAACAAAAACAAGAAAAACAAACAAAAAAACCAACAAATCCCACAGCTGAGTTGGGACGGTAAAGCCAACATTGTTCTAGGAGGAAGGAGGATGAAGGCTATTAACATCCATCTGCCCCCTGGTGCATCTCCCAAAGATGACGGCTACTTGGAGAGCACACTTGGTGTGCTCCTAAAACACACTAACCATTCAGTGAACAAAAGTCCAAACCACCTAAGAGCTCTGTGCTAAGAAAAGGCATTCCCAAGGAGATAGCAGTCATAACTGGTGAAGAGAATTTTATCAGGTCAGACCCTGCTGCCTCCTAAACTGCCAACTACCTCTATTAAAAAAAACACTACCGGGAAGGGCCTTTTATGGTGAGCACTGCTAGAAAAAGAAAGGCTGCTCTCCAGTCTTGAGCACAATGGGCCTTGGTAGTCAGTATCTCTGTATAAATTAGGAAAGTGCTTCACTTGTGTGCATCAATAAGACAAATACTGAGTGGAGCAGTGTTAGGCTAGAGCTGTACAGGTATAAAGTTTTTGCAGCTATATAAAGTGTACATATACTATGGACTTTTGCCATTTTAAACATGATTTTTTTAATTAAAAAATAAAGATTACACTGTATGTGATTTGGAGCTGACTGTTATATGCCAATAATTTTGGTCTTTAATACACTTTTTTATTCATTAGGAACAGGAGGGGGTATCCTAATGATTTAAAAGTAACATGTGCATTTCACCACTGTTTAAATGTATTTCTGACACACTAACACAAATCTAGAGGCAAAGAGAAAGTAGGTCAAATCCTATTTGTCTGACTAGATAGAGGCAACAGTGTCTGGAAGAAGACAAAATTGTGCTTCTGTGTGAACTGGCTTTCCTGAACTCCAGGCTGCGAGGAGCTTAGAGACATCAAGGGAGGGTAAGGAGCACGGCAGTAACAAGTAGTTGAACACTCTCCCTGTCAGTAAAAATAGGCCCAGCGCCGATTGCGAGTTGAGTGAGGTTGGCAGCGAAGGGTCACGGCTGTGACCGAAAGGCTGCAGCACGTGTGGCTGCACAGATGCCGATAACTCACAAAGGCAGACAAGGCTGAGCACACTGTGAGGAGGAGAAAGGAATCCAACGGTGCTGAAAAGTGACTTCAACAATCTGATTTATGTTCAACAAGTCTGTTTTGTTTTACACAGCTAGGTATCACTCAGATTAAATAAAGGTCAATTCCTGTTTGACAGCATTATTTTTATACAAAAAATCCAATCTTCATTTACACTGCACGTATTCTGGGCACCTGTTATATTAAGCTTTTCTCATTTTAACATAAATTAAAACAGTAAGACATCAAAGCAAACCAGGCCTAAGAAATGAGCTGCTACAGCACTTGATCCATCCTGAAACAAAGGTTTTGATGAGAATGTTTACTGAGGGAAGAACTACAGAACTTCAGGACCGTAGTGTGGGAAACTCAATTAACACCAACAGAAATAGTTCTCTTAAACAATTTAGTTGCCCGTGGAGGCCTGAGTGAAGAACACACACCAGAAACCAGGCTGAATTAGGTAACAGATTTTGTTCTAGCAGAAGTCAAGGAGGCAAGATTTATGGGACCAGTGGTGTTCTTGAAAATATATTACTCAAACATCTTTGGAACAGACTACAAATCTACACATTAATAAAATCACAGGTCCTTTCTGTAAGACGCTACTGGAAATGTAAAGGAAAAACAAGAAGTATCAACACTCAGATCACTGACTGAAATGCTATATTGCTAATGATGATGTATGATATTGCACCTTCTTTTTGGAAATAGCAAGTTGGAGACTTAAGTTTCTTTTACAACAGAATTGAAAATAATAAAAATCAGGTCATGGAGTGAGAATCTGACACTTTTTTCTTAGTGACCCACCTAGGATCACAAAGGAAGAGAAGGGGACAGCTGCCTGAAGCAAAGGAAGAAGGCTTTTTTCATTCCATTCATTGGGAGGGAAGGGGATGGAGTATTCAATGCTTAGAATTGATGCACCCTTAGCAATCAGTGTGCAACAGCAAACACAAGGGGAAAACCAGTGTACAGTACTAGTGCTGTTTAAATAACACACCAGATTATACATTGCAGCATAATTAAAACTACACACACATTCTTGGTACATGCTGGTATATAGGATCTCATACACACAGTAGCTACCATGCCCCCACACATGTAGTTGCACACTCGCACACAGATTCACTTATCACCAACAGTCATACGCTGCACTCATTTCCACTCACAGTTTCTGAAGGCTCTATATAAGGTAGATTGCTATATCATCTGGAGCTACCACTTTTTATAAAAGCACATGCTAAAAGATCACGTCCACTGTAATCTTGCAGCAACACTCGGAATGATCACACAAAAACCAGGGAATGTTAGTGCACACACGAAATTAAGCTAAAGAAAAGATCTTTGGAGTTCCAATCACACAGTTAGTATAACAATCCCATAATTGTGAAGACTAATTGTAAGCTTTTATAGTTGATTAAGTCACACAGTGCAAAGAAAGGTCCATTGACCCTTTTGGTAAAGGGAGGGCTGGAAGCCACACAGGTGAAGTTCAATGGATAGTCCATATATACACGTGATGAGGAACACCCAAACTAAATCTGTGCTCTCAGCTGGTCACTCGGAATCCCGATGCACTTCTGAAGCATCAGCTCGGCAAATTGGGCAAGTACGATTTCCCTGAAAAACAAGAGGACGCTCACTGGAGTCATGTCTCATACAGTCCTACTGTTACTCCCATATGGTCTTTATATTCTGTTCCCTTAAAAAAAAAGCAAATCCTAAACCAGGTGGTGGTGCAAGCCTGCTATCCCAATGCATATAGGTGGAGGCAGGAGGACCAAGATTTTCAAGACAGCCTCAGCCACACAAGACTCTGTTTTAAAACAAAACAACAAAAAAACAAAACAAAGCAAGACAACCTACACAAATCTCCAAGATTGACTTCGTTAAACTCAGAAACATGACTCGTTCTTCTCATTCTCCTGTTCCATGAGGGCTGTATATAGGTGTATCCCAAGAGCCTGGCTCTAGCCTTCACTCCTTTTTTTCTTTTTAAAGGCAGGGGCTCTATTTTTGTAGCTCTAGCTGTCCTGGAACTCATTATGTAGATCAGGCCGACCTTAACTCAAGGAGATCCACCTGCCTTTGTCTCCTGAGAGCTGGGATAAACAAGATACAGTCGTACACAAATGGTTCCACTTACTCCTTTTCCTGGCTCCTAAAGCATTTTTTTCTCTATTTCCACAGATGGAAAAACACAACGCATCCCTTACTGTCTTACCTGCTGCAATCCACTCCTCACCAGACACTAACTGCCACATCACGATGGATGGCACTCAGAGCACTCAGTCTTTTCATCTGACTGTCACTACACACTATGACTGGCTCACTCCCATCCTATTCCATCTTCCTTCCTGAACACCCATCCTTCCTGTCTCGTTCCCATCTCAGTCTCTGAACAGTGGCCAAGGAGGTTTTTAAAGCACGAGTGTAGCTGCACCCTTCCCCTTGCTTTCAGAATCAAGAATAAACTCATCCATGCTTCAGCATGGCTTTGCAATATATCCAGGCACATCTCTGAGTCCCTCCTGTGTGTATCACCCCCTCACACTCTCCACTCTACTAATAGTTGCATGGACTGGTGGTTCCCGGACCATCCCCTGCTCACACATTAGGACTTTGCACAACCCATGTTTTTGTTTTGTTTTTCCTACAAAGTTCATACTCTTCATCTTCAGGATTTAGTTTGCTCACTTCTTCTCTTCTTCATTAGGCAGGTCTCACTTTCCTGACTTAGCCTCCCCTCAAGTGCTAGGATTATGGGTGTGCACCAGCAAACACCAGTTCTACCTTAACTGATTTCTTTATTAGACTAGTAAGTTGCCTAATTAGCACATTCTACACAAAAACCCAAAGTTGACTATTTAAATTATTTATATTTTATTCAAATAATTAAGACTATGCAGAGAAATACTTGAAAAGGACAAGAAGCCTCAGCAGTCACTCTGACAGACCACTGCTATTCTTAACAGGACCAAACACCCCCCACCCCCCACCCACACCCCCAACTCTCACGCAACTGCCACCACACTGATGGCTGCAGTTTTCTTGACTGCATTCTTTCAAACAATGCTGGAAACTGAACCCAGAAATCACCCGTGCTGGGTACATGCAGTGCTATGACCTCCAGTCTTGCAGCCGCTCTTTAATGAACTTTCCAGAGTGCTTCCTCTAAAAGCTAGGCGTCCATTTATCTCCTATACCCAACTCCCCCTAAACCATGGACTCACTCAGATGAACATATGGTCAATAAGAATACAAAATAGTTATTTTCTGTATGCTTGTGATCACTTTACCTTAAGCCATTTATCGACACACTTGGCATGGAACTCGTGATTACAGGGTAAGACTCTAAGAAGCTGCCTTGACTCAAAATCACACATGCATACTACACACCTGGAAAAGAGCAAAAAGGTCATTTTTGGTTTTCTATTTATTATGACTATCACGATTACAAAGCCATTCTCAGTTATCAAAATATTACTTAATTTTTTAAAAATTGCCACTATTCCTGAAAATGATACTGCTGAGTTCTTTCTTTTCTAACAGATTATCAACACATTTCTGGTTAAGGAGCTGGAGAGATAGTTCAATGGTTAGCAGCACTTGTAAGCATGAGGACCCAAGTCTGAAGCCACAGCATCCATGTAAAGATCTGGGCATGTGTGGCATGGAGGGGACCTTGCTGGGGCTTGTAACCCTGGCACCCAGAGGCAGAGACAGGGACATCTGAGAGCTCCTGGTTGGCCTGTTTAGACGCAGCAGCAAAGGAGCTTAGTGGAGACAATCAAGTGGAGAACACTCAATGTCCTGTGAATGCACAAGTGTGTGCACCATCCACACGTAGGCACTACAGACTACATGCAAATATGTAACACACAGCCAGGCAGTGGTGGCGCACGCCTTTAATCCCAGCGCTCAGGAAGCAGAGCAGGCGGATCTCTGTGAGTTCAAGGCCAGCCTGGGGTACAGAGTGAGATCCAGGACAGGTACCAAAACTACACAGAGAAACCCTGTCTTGAAAAACCAAAAAAGTAACACCCACATCTACCAGAAATTACAAAAAAGTATATTTCTGATTTCTATCAAGTTACTTTGAAAACTAAAGCCACTATACCATTGATACTGTATTATTTTTAGAAGTACTGGAATAAAGTTAAGCATGGTAGTTCACACCTCTAATCTCAGTACCTGAGATAGAGGTAGGAGGATCTCTGTGAGTTTGAGGCCAGCCTACTCTAGTGGGTTTCAGGACAGCCAGGGCTACAGAGTAGAACCCTAAATCTGACACAGTATAAAAAATTAACCATGGCTTGGGGAGGTGGCTTGGTGGACAAAGTCTGTTGCATAAGTATGAAGACCAGAGTTCAGATCCTAAAGGACCCACATAAAAGCTGGGATCACTGGGACATCTGGCTAACGAGTCAAAGTCAAAGAGGTTGAGTGAATCAGTGAGAGGCCCTGCCTTAAAGAATTAAGCGGAGAATGTTTGAAGACACTTGATAACAACTTCTGACTTCTATGTGCACACACATGCATGTGTACCTGCGTATACACAACAAACATATACATACACAAAAATAATTTACCTAAAAAAAATGGATCAAAATTCTAGATTAAGAGAAAAAAAAAACAGTAAATTTTTGTGATCTAGAAGTAGATAAAATTTTTTTGACACGAGGAAAATATCAGCCTCAACAGAAAAGCAAACAATAAAATGGAACTAAAACAAGATTAATCAAAATTAGTTGGGGATACACCAAAGTAGTAGAGTGCTTGACTGCCACGTGTTAAGGCCCTAGGTTTGATCCTCAACATCATAAAAAAAAAAAAAATTAAGAAATTTGTTTTTTAAAGGATACCATCAAGAAACGGCAAAAAGGATATAGTTTAGAGGCAGGGTGCTATGTTCTCGTTTTGGTTCCTAGCACTACAAAACCAAGATCTACTAAGACAACCTACAAAACGGAAGAAATCTGGGGAGGGAATGTCTGTATTCATGTGTGTGCACACAGGAGGGAATGTCTATATGGGGGTGTGTATGTATGCACAGGAGGGAATGTCCATATGCGTGTGTGTGTGTGTGTGTGTGTGTGTGTGTGTGTGTGTGTGTTACATACACATATCAGGTTCCTCCTCAATCACTCTCCACCCTTCCCGACTGACTCCCTTCCTTCCTTAACCACCTTTACACCGACTCCTGCCACACTTGGCACTCAGGTTGCTGGCCTGCAGCACACCTTTAGCTCTGGAGCCATCTTACTAGGCTGGCTGTCAGCAAGCTCCAGGAAGTCTCCTGTCTCTCCTTCCCTTGCTGGGATTATAGGAGGCATGGCCATGGCCCCGACCCCAGTTAAAAGTGGGTTCTACGTGCTTGAACTCAGGTCCTCAGGCAAGCACTTTACCCATGAGCTATCTATCTCCCAGCCAAACCTGGTTTGCTTTTAAGATTATCACTACATTTCTCCCTTCCCCTTTCTTTCTCCAAGCCCTCCCATATAGCACTCCTGTTCTTTCAAATTCATGGCCTCTTTTTTCACTAATTGTTATTGCATGCATATATATTCCTAAATACAACCTGCTCAGTCTATATAATGTTACCTGTATGCATGCTGTCGGGGATGGCCTATTCACACTGGATAACCAAAGACAGAGTCTCTTACTTGCCAAACAGGCGAGGCTAGCAATCCCCGGGATCTGACCACCTCTGCCCTCTCAGCATTGGGATTCTAAGTGCCCACTCCACACTTGGCCATTGTACATGGGTGCTGGGAATGGAACTCAGGTCCTCACACTTGTTCAACAAGCACTTTAAGACCAAACCATCTCCTAAGCCCACAGAGTGGGAGACATTACTGAACATCTTTTATCTGCAAGGGATTTTTATCTTTAATATTCAAGAAACTTCTTCAGTTTGCTAACAAAAAAGACAACCCAATTTGAAAATCCACGGTGACTGGAAAAGGCATTTCTCAAAGAAACTACACACACACACACACACACACACACACACACACACACACACACGCACGCACGCTGCAGGCCAATGAACACAAGAAAAGATGTTGAAAGTTGGCATCCTCCGGTGAAAGGCAAGTCACACCTCGGTAGGTTAACATTTTAAACCCAGCAGGACAACCCAGAGACAAGAGAACGTGCTAAAAACACAGCAACTGAAATCTCTGTGCATGGCTCTCAGGAACACAAAGTGGAAAAACTGTGACAACTCTCAGAAAGTTAAACCTAGGGCTATGAACTTAACTTAGCAACTTACTTCCAGGCAATTCACTTCCACCCAAGAGAAATGAAAACATAAATCCACAGAAAAATGTTTACCCAAATGTTCCAAGTAGCATTATTCCTAAGAGTCAAACAGTGGAAACAACCTAAATGTCCACCAACTAAAGAAAGGATAAGCATGGTATATCTATACTATGGAATATTTTTAGCCATAAAAATGAATACTTGATACAAACTGCTATACAGGGACCTGGAAAAAGTTATGCTATGTTGACTTCCTGGGCAAACTGAAGACTCCAGTATTATAGCAGTGTTTCTTAACCTGTGGGTTGTGACCCCTTGTGGGAAATGAGGTGGGGTGGGGGGTGTGGGATCAAACAATACTTTCACAAGGGTTGCATATCAGATATCCTGCATATTAGACACTTACATTACAATTCTTTTTTTTTTTTTTTTTTTTTTTTTTTTGTTTTTCGAGACAGGGTTTCTCTGCGTAGCTTTGCGCCTTTCCTGGAGCTCACTTGGTAGCCCAGGCTGGCCTCGAACTCACAGAGATCCGCCTGGCTCTGCCTCCTGAGTGCTGGGATTAAAGGTGTGCGCCACCACCGCCCGGCTACATTACAATTCTTAACAGTAGCAAAATTACAGTTATGAAGTAGCAACAAAATAATTTTATAGTTGGGGGTCACAACTTGAGGGGCTGTATTAAAGGGTTGAGAACCACTGTATTATAGGAGCCCAGATATGTGGTATCTAGAGACAGAGGAGGTAAGTCACAAAGAAGGAGAGTTGAGAAGACATGGGAAGTAGCTCCTAATGAGTGAGAGGAAACCATGCTGCAGAGCAATGAATGGAGATGGCTGCTCAACTTTACAACCATGCTAAGAACAGGAGAACGCTGTGAGTTTCAGCTCATTCCATAACAGCAGAGTCCACATGACCAAGAACTACCTTACCGGCCAGCATAGATCCAGAACAGGCAACTTACCCTTATCAGTTATCTGACACTCAAAACTTCTACTTCCTAACAGTGAGAGAAAACCGTGAGCAGGAGGAGCGTCACAGAAACACACTTACAGAGTCTGCTCCGACTGGTGGTTGTTGGGGTTGAACCTGTAGGAAGGCAGCTGTTCAATATCTGCTTTAGTCAGTCCCCGCGGCTTCGCCTCTCCCAGCCGCTCCGCCAGGTTTAGCAGGGCCTAAAAGAAGGGAAGGAGACAGAGTGTCATCTTGTTTTACATTTTCTACTGGACTAGTATCATGATAGTTTAATTTCTCATGTATGTGTACATGCACACACACACACAGTACCATGGAGCACATGGAGAGGTCAGAGGACAACGTGTGTGGTGTGGGGGAGGGGAGGAATCAATTCTCTTTGCACCAGGAGGGGCCCAGGGATTGAACTCAGGTCATCAGATTATTGGCAAGAGCTTTTACCCACTGAGCGGTCTCTTTGGCCATCCACTGGCCAAAACTTCTAATTTTTTTTTAATTTAATTATTATTATTTTTTAAACAAGATGTTACTTTGTAGCCTAGGCTGTCCTGGAATTCAGTATGTAGCTCAGGCTAGCTTCAAGCTCATGGCAATCATCCTGGCTTTGGCCTCTCAAGTGCTGGGATTGCTGGTGTGAGCCAACATGCCCAGAAGTTACACCTATTATTTTACAAAGAAAACTCTGGCTAGAAGTGAGTGGGGTTTCTAGGATAACAACTTTACCTTGACTCCTTTCATATTTCTCTGAGGCTGCACCCTGACTTTTTCAGATTTTTCACATTTGCTTTCTATGCTCACAAGAACAGTCATGTCCAGTCTGAAAGTCAATCTCTCCTGTATCTTTTTTTTTTTTTTTTTGGTTTTTTCGAGACAGGGTTTCTCTGCGTAGCTTTGCGCCTTTCCTGGAGCTCACTTGGTAGCCCAGGCTGGCCTCGAACTCACAGAGATCCGCCTGGCTCTGTCTCCCGAGTGCTGGGATTAAAGGCGTGCGCCACCACCGCCCGGCTACTATATCTGTTTTAAGTGGTATTTTTCAGGAGAGGAAGGGCACAGCCACCATAGGAGTGATAACCAATTGCACAAGAATTACAAGATGCGCCAGGCGGTGGTGGCGCACGCCTTTAATCCCAGCACTCGGGAGACAGAGCCAGGCGGATCTCTGTGAGTTCGAGGCTAGCCTGGGCTACCAAGGGAGCTCCAGGAAAGGCGCAAAGCTACACAGAGAAACCCTGTCTTGAAAAACCAAAAAAAAAAAAAAAAAAAGAATTACAAGATGCTTTTATCAAAGACAGATCATTTTCCAATACAATACAGAGATGAATATGCAACAAGGCCAGCTGCTCTAATCAAAGTGTCTTTGGCTCAACAGGTAGGGGCACTTGCCACTAATCCTGACAATCTTAGCTTAATTAATCTCCAGACAGGAAAACCAACTCCTACAAATCACCTCCACTATGGCAAAGGTGCACAACCAGACAGACAGACAGACAGACAGACAGACACACACACACACACACACACACACACACACACACGCACACACACACAATAGTTTTAAAGATGTTAGTTTAGGATATGACTATATTGTATGAACTACTTTAACACATGCAAAATGAGCCCCAGGGAGGTGGATTCCAGCTACTACGTATTTATTAAAAATAAGACTTTAAAAGAACACAACAGGGCTGAAAAGATGGCTGTGGTACTTTGAATGTACCTGGCCCCCAGAAGCACTATTAGGAGGTTTGGCCTTGTTGGAGGAAGTGTGTCACTGTGGGGACAGCCTTTGAGATCTCCTATGTTCAAGCTACACCCAGAGTGGAACTCAGTTTGTTTCCTGTTGCCTGCTGATCAGGATGTAGAACTCTCAGCTCCTTCCCCAGCACCATGTCTGCCTGCATGCTGCCATGCTTCCCACCATAATGATAATGGACTAAACCTCTGAAACTCTAAGTCACCCTATTAAATGCTTTTCTTGATAAAAGAGTTACCATGGTCATGGAGTCTCTTCATTGAAACCCTAAATAAGACAATGGCTCAGGAGTTAAGAGCACTGGCTGCTCCTCCAGAGAATCTTGGTTTAATTCCCAGCACCCACAAGGGGCTCACAACCATCCGACACCCTCCTCTGGCCTCCAAGGGCATCAGGCACATACATGGTGCACAAACATACATGCAGGCAAAACATCTATGCTCATAAAAAAAATTAAACAAAAATCACAATAACAGTACCATGTCAAAAAATTTAACATCAAATATCCAATTAATGACCAAATATTACTGATTATTTTCAAAACAAGTATTTTATTCAAATTGGAATCCAATGCTACCATGGATTGATAGGTCAAGTCTTTTAAGAATGTATTTATTTTGCTTTATGTAAATGTACGTATGTGTATTATGTTAGCCAGTGGAGGTTAGGAGTGAGCTGTTGGATCCCTTGGAGCTGGAGTTGCAGGTGTTTATGAGTCCCCTCACATGGGTGCCGGGATCTTAACCCTGCCTTTGATAAAGCACTAAGTATTTATAAATGGTGAGACATCTCTCCAGCCCCTCAAGTCTCTTTTAATCCTTGTATTTGCTGAAGAAACCAGGTCAAAGACCTGTAGAAATCCCAGTGTGCGGCTATGAGTGTAGCTCAGTTGGTGGAGTGCTTGCTTAGCACGTACAAGACCCTGGACTCCAGCCCCAGCACATCAAACCAGGTATGGGGAACCATTAATAGCAGCACTTAAAGATAGAGACAGGAATAATCACAAGTTCAAGGCTATATAACAAATTAAAAGTCAACGTGGGGAACCTGTCTCAAAATAAAAAACAAACACAAATACAGACATTCCCAGTGTGACTCTCATGACTTCCACTTTTGACCTATTTGGTTCAACATACTTCCTGCCCACTACACTTTCTGTACTCTGAAAGATCTGACTCCTCTATGAGCATCAGGCCCACTGTGTCCAACAGTTAAATCACTAGGTAATCAAGAACCTGTGGTGCTATTAATTCATCAAGGCTGGCAAAATGATACTAATTTCATCATTATTCAAAGAAATTTTCTTATAATGAGTAACTTCCTCACACCAAATTGTACTGGATAGTATATAAAGAAAAGGAAGGATAAAAAAAAGACCAATGAATTGAGTTTTTACAAGTATTTAACATAAATTCATATTTAAAATGCTTGATGTATCCTAGGATGTTACAACTATCATGTTTATTGATTATACACCAGTACCTCATTCTTCCTGGATTTTCAATGGCTCATTACTTATCTGCTTTAACCTACAATTAGGTTGCCTTTTTTTACAAAGACAAGTGTTCTGCTGTATAGCTCAGGCTGATCTTGAACTCAAGATCCTCCTGACTCAGACTATCAAGCACCAACCCCAATATCACACCTCAGATCTCCATTTTCTCCCTTTCTTAAGACATGGTGGTCTTGTTCTGTGGCCTGGACTAGCCTCAACCCTGCCATACTTCTGCTTCCCACTTCTGAGCGCTGCCGCCCGGCTGTGCCACCCCAGGCCACTCTCCTCCTTTCCCTTTACTCACACACCAGTGTCCAACACTTCCCTCCCTCAGCCTTATGCAAACACAAATAACACCACCCCTTTCTAAGATTCGGCTCAAACATCTCCTCTTCCACAGATCTTTCCAGAACACGTCATCAGAACCCACCATTTTCTCACCATGTGCATTCCTTCCCTGGAATTTAACTTGAACACAATGAGTCTACTTACTGTAATAGGTATGTGGAAAAAGTCCACGTATCCTAGGGATGCTGACCAATTCTATGACTTATTTGTGTCTTAAAATGTGGTTAACCTAATAAATGTTTATGTGCAAGTATAGGACAATTACACACAATACTCCCTAAATTAATTCACACTTCATCTACTAACCTCGTAATTTTCTACTTCTCCATCTTCCACATCCAATTCAAAGCTGAAAGTTGGGCCCACTGCAGGTGGTACTGGAAGCATTGATCTATAAATAAAACCAAGGAAGTGTTAATATGTTATTACATTAACACAAACAAACAAGAGAGGACAAAGGTCAAATGACAGGGAGAAGAATGGTCAGTGTTTACTGGGGGCAACTCCTGAAAGGCACTGACTCTACTGGGAACAGGACACGCCATCTACAACGGCATAACAAGATAAATGTGAAGGCCGGAGATGGCTCCGCAGCTAAAGGAGCTCTATCAAACCCGACAGTCTGAACTTGGTCCCCAGAACCTGGGTAGTGGAAGGACAAAACCTGACTCCCACATGTGGCCCTGACTTCCACAAGTGGCCAAGGTATGTACACAGGCGTATGTGCACATGTTTACATTTAATAAATGCAATGTAATAAAAAATTTTAAATGTAGAGATAGACTTAATAGAACATGTAAGGCCTATATAATAAAAACTGCTAGGATAAACAGAATATGTAAGTAGACTAGAAAAATTACTAGTTATCACTATTCTACCATATTGATTTATGGATTTAACACAAAACTCCATTAAGCTTAAAGTCTTTTAGCACAAAATGGATGCTGATTTTAAAATTTACCTGGAAATGCAGAAATAAAAAAATTAAATAGAAACATTTTTTCAGCTAAATTGGAAGGTTATATTACCTTATTTTAAGAAAAAGAGACAGGAAAAGGAGGTATGTGGTAAGGGGGAGGAGGGGTAACTAAATTATCAGAAAAATAACTTGCAGTTGAAAGACTACATGTGCTCTCAGATATTTGTCTTAGAAAGTAATTATACACGTGACTAAGTCCCAGCCAACGAAGTATCAACAATAGCAGTGTTCCATTCTGGGAAAGGTCAAGAGACGCAGGTAGGCAGAGGAACCTGCTTTCTTTTTAAACTTTCATTTCTTTGAGATAGGGTCTTGCTATGCAACCCTGCCTGTCTTGGTACTTTTGCTTTCCTACTTCCGTTTCCTGACTCCTGGATTACAGCGTACCCCCACACTCAGCTTCCCACTCCCACTCATGCTAACTAGTCTACTGACATGCTGGCTGAAGCATGAGGGTCATGAGCACTCCCTATGATTGAGGACATACGACTCCATTCCCATAGACCCAAGGCTAACAAACCACCCTGGACCTGGCCTACTTCTATGCTTCAGTATGTCAGAAAGAAATAAAAAACCTATTACATTTAACCCACAATGTTCATGACAGGAAAACTAGTTCTAAAATGCAGAATTGACTTCTTGTCTTTTCCAAGAAAACCACCACCAAAAGCTGGGTAATCAACAGTAACTCTAGGGCCTAAGAGATGGCTCAGTAAAGGTCCTCCCAGCAAGTCTGGTCATCTGAGTTTGATCCCTAGAATTCATGTGGTAGAGAGAACAGACCTTCCCAAGGTGTCCTCTGACCTTTCACATATAAGCCATAGCATGTATGTGTTTCCCCACACCATGCATAAATGTGTAAGGGTTTTGTTTGTTTGTCTTGAAGTGACGCCAGGGGCTAAAAAGATGGCTCAGCAGTTAAGAGCACTTGCTGTTCTTGCAGAGGACCTGGGTTCAGATCCCACTACCCAAACAGTTGCTCTCAACCATCAGTAACTGCAGTTCCAGAGATCTAATGCCCTCTTCTGGCCTCTACAGGCACTGCATGCACACAAGGTATACATACACACTTGTAGGCAAAAGACACACAAAATAAAAATCTAAAAAAAGTGATTCTAACTGTGCAAGTGCCACATACTTTAATTATTCCACCTTATAATTTGTGCTGGATTTTTTCCTCCCCCCATTTCTTCCCTAATTGGCTCTTAGCCCCACAACCACTTAACCTATTTTAACACATACTAAGTCACAGGCCACAAAGAAGGCATTCATAAAGCAGACTCTCAAGAGAATTCAGTAGAGGGAACTTACAGCACATATGGCAGTAAGCTGGGATGATAAGGGGGAGGTGGTATTGGCTGCTGGGATCGGTATCTACTGCGTCCTGTGAGTCTCCGAGGCATAAACGGAGGGTAAGGCTGTAGAAGAGCAAAGGGTAAGAATGATCATTCTATGTTTACAAACAGTGTCAAATAATTTCCTTTTTTTTAGACTAAAAAAAAATCACTGTGTGTGCATAATGTGTGTACATGTCACAGCATTCGTGTGACGGTCAAAGGGCAAGTCTATCGAGTTGGTTCTCTCCTCCTACCACTGTGAGAAGTCTGGAATGGAATCAAGTTGCCAGGCTTACATGGCAAACACCCTTAATCTCTGAGCTACCTTGCTAGTCCCAACTTGGGTTTTGTTTCTGTTGTGTCGTTCATGGTTTTTTGTTTTTTGAGACAAAGTCTCTCTACATAGCCCTGGCTGTCCTGGATCTCGCTCTATAGACTGGCTGGCCTCCAACTCACAGAGATACAGCTGCCTCTGCCTCCCGAGTGCTGGGATTAAGGTTATGTGCCAGAACATTCAGCTTCCCGACTTGTTTTTTTGAAGATAGTCTTGTCATCTAGTGCAGACTGGCCAGGAACTTGCAGCAATCCTCCTGCCTCTTTCTACCTTCTCAGTGCGGGGATTACAGGCCTGGGCCACCATGCCCAACCGCCATTTACTTGGTTCTTAAAACACTGTTTATGTGGCATTAATTAGTTCTTCAATGTTAATATAGATGAAATAACCAAGGATTAAAAGAGACATGCAAGTGATTTTAAGAATACATGAGTTCTGAACATTTCCAGAGTCACAATGAACAACTAGAATAGGCTGTCAAACAAATAAACGAATACAACAATGCATGACAACTTACTACGCCAAAGGACACCTCCTGATGCAAAGGATCATGTGTCAGGAACTGCAAAGGAGCTGACGGAGGTAATGTTGGGGGATGGGCCGAAGGGGGGTAAGTAAAACTGCCTACTTGAAGATGTTCTCCTAAGAGTTCCACTTCATTTTCTATCCTCTGAAGAGGCTGTGAAGAGGAAAAAGAAATCAATATACTCCTGAGGCTTTTTTAAATTAGAAGACAATGAAAAATATTTTCAAAGCCAAGGTTGTCTTATTTTAGTTTGTTAAGTATTTCCTTTACCCACTATAATACATGTCTTTTACTACTCAAACTATCTTAAAATGGGAGGAAAAAAACCACAGTAAGTCAATGAGATAGAAGTTCAAGTTTGAGTTGTCATAATACACTGAACAACAGAGAATTTTCAGACACTGAGCACCCCCAAGAAGAGAAGAGAGACTTGGGGGAGGGGCACTGGGGGGAGGGAAGGAGAGGAGAGGAGGAGGAAGGAGAAGAAGGGAGAGAGAAAAGGAGAGGAGAGAGGGAGGAGAAGAAAGCTCTTTGGGGCTGCAGAGGCAGCTAAGAGGTTGTTGCTCTGCCAGGCAGAATTCAGTTCCCAGAATCCTTATTGGGTGGCTGGCAACGAAGTGAAACTTCAGCTCCAGGAGGCTCTGAGACACCCTCTTGTGGTCTCTACAGGCACAGGTCTCTACATAAGTGGTACACACACACACACACACACGTACACACACACACATGTACACACACACACACACACACCTCCTCTCCCCTCTCCTTTCTATAAGTTAGTACTGACAATTACAAGGTTTCCATTTTTCAATTTAGAAATACATGAAAGGGGCCAGTCAGACGGCTCAGGAGGTACTGGTGCTTACTGAGCAATACTGGCAACCTGACTTCAAGTTCTAGAATGCACATAAAAGGTGGAAGAAAACCAACTCCAAAGTTGTCCTCTGACTTCCACAAGCCATGCCCAATCCCCCACCCCCAACTACAGAATGCACACACACATAATAGACTTAAAAATCATTAGAACATATAAAATGGAAAAAAAAAAAGAGACAGTACCAATTTGGTGGAATTTTTCTTTGCTTTTAAAGAAAGCAGATATGAAGGAACAATAAAAATTTACTTAGGTAAGTAATACTAAAATAACTAAGAAAAAATAAGCCAACTCTAAAGTATGTTTAAACCAGTTTATATATCTTTAAGTTCCTTTAATTCTTTTAAGAGCTGTAAGAAGCCTGGTGGTGGCGGCACACGCCTTTAATCCCAGCACTTGGGAGGCAGAGGCATTCAAGGCCAGCCTGGTCTACAGAGTAAGATCCAGGACAGGCACCAAAACTACTCAGAGAAACCCTGTCTTGAAAAAACAAACAAACAAACAGCTGTAAGAATACCAGAATTTAAATGGCAATTGCTTACATTTACTAAACTAATTACCATAACTTAAACATTCTGGGAAAACTAGAAACATGAACAGCAATACCTACCGATCGTGACTGCTGTGTTTGGAAAGGGACAAATTGGCCTGGTGGTGGCAAGTGAGGAGGATGATGGGGAGACAGGTGAGGAGGATGTATAAGAAATGGATCGCTAGAAATAAGGGGCGGAAACGCAGCATATGGTACTGGTAAGTGCTGAACTGAACATGCCTGAAGCATCTGTAAGGAAAAAAAAAACATTACTTTTAGGTTAAAAATGTCAGAATATACAATTTTCTTGACAAAGATATAAATCAAATTGCCACACCTCCCCAGACACATACAAAAATGTCTAACTATAGTAAGTACTAGAATATTTTTTTGTTTGTTTGTTTTTCGAGACAGGGTTGCCCTGTGTAGCTTTGCGCCTTTCCTGGAACTCACTCTGTAGTCCAAGGCTGACTTTGAACTCACAGAGATCCGCCTGCCTCTGCTTCCCAGTGCTGGGATTAAAGGCGTGCACCACCACTGCCCGGCTCTAGAATATTTCTGTATCTACAAGCTAAAATTGGTAAACAGTGTAGTGCTCTGGAAGAGCAGCTAGTGCTCTTAAAAGCTGAGTCATCTCTCCAGGTCCAATAATCGCATTTTCATTAACAGTTTTCTCATGGTGAAAAACAAGACAGGCACTCGGAGTGCTCACTGAAGCCCCAGTAAGGGCTAAGACTGCTAACTGCTGAAGATTACATTACTAAGCCTAAAGCCAATCTTTATAAAGGTTTAATTATAAACTGTTTATATATAGGAAGAAATATGGTTTAAAACACTTAAATGGATATATTTTAATCACTGTACATAGAATGCATCATAATTTAAAGCTAACCCTGCTTTCCCCTCCCAAGTGCTAGAGTTATAGGTTTGTTTAATGGTCACTATAATTGTGCTGAGATTTTTATTGCAGTAAAATTAAACTTTTTACTTGGAAGTGAAGCTACAAAGGCAGTTCTTAAATCCTATCTTTAGCCATCCTAGGGGAGGACTACTGAACTTTTAAGTCATAAACAATTCCCGGCTGGCATGCTATTTTAAATAATAAGATCAAGTGAGAATAAAGACACAGACTTACTGGAGGAGGCACACTACAGACAGGTAGGTGTTGTCCACTGAAGACCACAGAGCATCCTGGGACCTGTTGTGTACTGCAAGCAGGGATGTGCTGGCCTGTGCAGAGTGGAATCCCATGGGGTGCCACCGTGGTTACTGTGTAGGAGACAGGAACTGTTCCTTGATGGAGCTTTTAAAGAAGAAAATAGAACTTTTGAGAAAATGTTACCTATTTTAAAAATTAACATTTGAGGGTCTGGAGAGGCAGCTCAGTTGGTAGTGTATTTGTCATATGAGTTCTTGGGTTTGACACCACATCACATAAACTAGGCACAGTGGCTTAAACATGGAATCTTGGTATTGGGGGGTGGAAACAAGACAATCAGAAATTCAAGGTCATTTTTTACTTATCCAGTGTATTAAAAGACAGCTTGGGCTAAATGAGACTCTGCCCAAACAAACATTTACTGATTCCCCCATCTGCTATATAGATTTTCACAATGAACTTCCTCCATGTTTTTCTTTTTCAAACACAGCCTATGTAGTAGTGTAAGTTAGCCTCTCACTATGCTGCCAAATGTGGGTCTTGAACTCCCGATCCCCTGCTTTCCCCTCCCAAGTGCTAGAGTTAGGTTTGTGACAGCATTCCTTGCTTCCTCCAGTAGTTTCAAGCAGAATAATTATTGTCTTTGTATAGGAAAGATAACTCTATATACATCATCTCACAGAACGAGAACTAAATCCTTTCACCAAAGACTGGAAAGAGGGGATGGAGAAGGCTCAGTGATTAAGAGCACTTGTTGCTCTTGTAGAGGACCTTCGGTCAGTGCCCAGCACTCACGTGGTAGCTCATGACCATTCATAACCAAGGGAACCAAAACCCTCTTCAGACCTCCACAGGCGCCAGGCATGCATGTGGTACACATACACATATGTATGCAAAACACTCATGTATAAAATAAATCAATCTACAAAACAACTTACTGCTGTGTTAACTCTTTAGCCTGCTTTGTAGAGCAAAACTTCTAAAAACAAATCTTTTACAAAAATTCAAGCTTGTGGTTTTTGTAAAGATTTATTCTGTTTTTTAAATATGTGTGTGGGTGTTTTGTCTGCATGTATGTCTGTACAACATGTGAGTGCAGTGCCCACTGAAACCAGAAGGCAACAGATCCCCTGGAACTGGAGTGACAGATGGCTGTGAGCTATCAATTTGGATGCTGGACTTGAACCGGAGTCCTTCTCCAATAGCAGCCATAGCTCTTAGCTGCTGGGCCCTCTCTTCAGCCCAAGTATGTCTGTGCTTGTTCAATCCATTTAGTTGCAACAAGTGAAACAATGGTGGTATTAAAAGACTAAATCTGGCTTAGGGATCCAGAGCCTAGTGTAAGCGTGTTTGCTCAAAGCCTCGGTATGGTGATATTTTATTTGTACTGAAATGTGATTTTAATTTTATATTAATAAATAAAGTTGCCCTGGGGTCAGAGCTATTAGAGCCATAGCAAGAGCGTGGTGGTTAGAAGAGCTAGGTAGATTTCTGTGTGTTCAGGGATACAGCCAGTATTGGAGACATATGCCTTTAAGACCTGGAGGGCGGTACTTACAGGCAGTGATGAGGCAGTCATGTGGTTGGGTTTACAACCAATGAGAAGGCAGAACAGAAAGATTATTTAAACATGGACACAGGGGGTGTCTCTCTCTCTCGGGGAAGCTAGGAGCACTGCAGGAGGTAAGATTTTATCTCTGAGCTCTGACCTCTCGGCTTTCTCTTTTACCTTGGCTCTGTGTTTCTTATTTTAATAAGACAATTGGTTACATCTACACCTCGGGTTCAATAACCAGCACCCACCATGAATATATAAGTAGTGCCAAACTTCCCCCTTTCCACCTAATGTTGCAGCCACTATGCCTTCCCCTCTTTTTTTTTTTTTAGGTTAATCAGATATTTCAAGCATACTTGTTTGTTAATAGTCATTATGATGAAGGTACTCAAACTGTTATTACCCTTTTGCCAATACAAACACATTTTAAAAAAAAATCACCATGTTGTTTTATAATAGTAGTAACATTACTTATCTCAAACCATATTGGGCAAAGAGATGGGGATATATTTCCGATTTTTAAAAAAAGATTTGTTTATCATTTGAATGTGTGTGTGTGTGTGTGCCTGTGTGTTTATGTGCATGTATCTGTGAAGGACAGAGGTTGTCAGAACCCCTACAACTGGGTTGCAGGCAGTTTTGAACCATCCTAAAGAACCAATTTCAGGTCCTCTGTAAGAGCAGAAAACACTCAACTCTGCCATCTTTCTAGCCCCATGATCAAAATTTTAAAATTATCATCTAATCACCTACAAAGGCTGTATGAAGTAAATCACACTCCAACAGTAATGTAAAAGAACCCAATTCCTAGCATCTCTCCTCAGATTTGTTAAGACTAAGATGCTTGCAAATCAGAGTGGAAAATGGTATAGTATGCTTAAGTTAAATTTGCATTTCTCTAACTAGAGAGGTTAAACATTTTTCGGCATAGGTTATTAACCATTTAGACTTTCTTTTCCATAGCCTCTACTGTTTACTCATGGCCTGTCTTCTACTTTGTCATAACCATGTTTGGTGACCTGGAGCTCACTGATTCAGTTGACAAGCTAGCTTGTCCCAGCAATCTGCTACTTCCACCTCTGCTCAACTGATTTTTATGTGCATCTCAATTCCACTCCTCAAATTTGTGGGACAGGCCCAGTATCTACTGAGCCACCCACTTACCCCCATTTATTATTACATTTATGTGCGTCTATATTTGGAAACACATGCTCAGGGTGCATTCCCAAGTCAGAGGACAACTTGCAGGAATTGGTTTTCTTCTTGAATCATGTGGGCTCTAGGGATTGAACTTAGATGGTTAGGCCTGGCTTCATGTACCTGTTTCTACTGAGCCAATTAAGAATCATTTTCAGGGGCTGGAGAGATGGCTCAATGGTGAAGAGTTATTGCCGAGAAGCCAGGTTTCATTCCTAGCATCCACATATTGGCTCCTAACCATCTGTAACATCAATTCCAGGGGATCTCACACCTTTTTCTTGCCTCCACAGGCACCAGATATGCACACAGTATATAGACATACATGAAAGCAAAACACCCACATATATAAAATAAACAAAAAAATTAAAAAAAAATCGTATGAGATAATCATTTGCTTGAAACTTTATGCCAAGGGTTAATTAAGTCCAACAATTTCTTTTCTAAAAAGGCAAGGCAGAAAGTAGTACTTTAGATTTGTGGGCTGCCTTGGACTGAATAAAGCAGCTGTGGGATATACAGACGTGTGGAGCTGAGTAAGAACAAAACTTGACAGAAACACATCTGTAGTGATGGCGCATGTCTTTAATCCCAGCACTCAGGAGGCAGAGGCAGGCAGATCTCTGTGAGTTCAAGGCCAGCCTGGTCTACAAAGTGAGTTCCAGGACAGCCAGGGTTACACAGAGAAACCTTGACTCTCTAAAAGAAAAAAACTTTACAAAACCAATTAGCAGCAGTTTGTTCCTTCCTGCTATCAATTATTATAGATTTAAAAAAAAAAATAGCGTCATAGAAATTAGGATCAACCTTTCAAAATTATACTAAAAACCTACTGTAATTATATTTGGGACTACATTAGCTCTATAGTCTATGCTTTAATTGAGAACCAACAGGTTTTACAAAACTGGATCTTTCAAGCCAAATGTTTACTTTTTGCACAGGTTTTCTATATTCACTCAACAATTTTGTAATTTTCTTTAAACAATTCTTTGAAGCACTTGTTAAGACTGATTCTTCTTTCATATTAATGTTTTTTAGTTTTTAACCTGTGTAGAATTTTAAATAATTTTTTCATTTATTCATTTATTTTTAGAGACAAGGTTTCCCTGTAGCTCTAGTTGGCCTCAAACACAGAGATTTGCTGCAGAATGCTGGGATTAAAGGTGTGCGCTACAACACCTGGATAAATTTCCTTTATTAAAAGGAATGGAGAACTTAAACAGCTACATTTCAGGAATTAAAGAAACCTACAACAAAAATCAGCGACTCCCATTAAAGCGTCACTAACTTGTACTGTTTGTGTTTCCAGGGCGTTGTTACTGTACCTGGTCATGGATGTCAACCATGACTGCATTCTGCTGGGGTGGATGAGCAGCTGGATGTAACAGACGGGGAGATACATTCGGAGGGTGGAAGGCTCGAGGTTCCTCTATTGCTTGCTGCTGTGCATAAGGGAGATGGTGATAGTTTTCATCTTGACTAATGGAATTATGTCGAGAGAGACGATCCCTTCTTCCTCGCTGACGCCTAACAGGAGGACTATAATAAGATAAATGCCAAAAAGAAGGTCATTACTTTGTTTACTAATTAGGAGTCTGTATTATCTGTTATCTATAAATAATATATACTAAGGTAAGCTGAGGTAATAAATAATTGCTATGGTTCCCAATCGATTTTAAAAACTGACCAATTTAAATATAAAATTCACCAGTAACTTTTAACACGCATAGTTCTGCAGGGATCACTATGTTACTCTGACAGGGATTTTCATTACCCTCATTTCAATATTTTATTAATGGAATTGTTTCATAAAAAAAAGCTACCATTTCTCTTTTTTTACGCATTTTTATTGGGGTGGAGGTGGTGATGCATACCATGGTGTATTTGTGCAGATCAGAGGACAACCTTCCGGAGTTCATGCTTTCCTTTCACTATGTGGGTCCTGGGGATCAAACTCATGCTGTCAGACTTGGCACCAAGCACTCCCACACTCTGAGCTATCTTGGCAGCCCAGCCAGCACTTTCTTCTCATCTATTTATTTAGTTGTTTGTTCTCAGTGTGGACTCTTGAGCATTTATTTGCTGGGTTGTGATTCATACTGTTGTTTTATGGGTGCTAAATGTCCCCCCACTCCTCCTTAGGATTGCCGTGAGTGAAGAGCATGGTTCTTTGTGCAAATTGAGAAACAAAAACCAGTTATTATCTCATCTATAAACATATCCTGTCATCCATTTCCTATCTTAGGTTTTTATCTGGTGCAACTTCTGTACATTTATCTTTTTTTTTTCCCCAATTGTTTTTTTGTTTTTTTGTTTTTTTTTGGAGCCAGGGTTTCTCTATGTAGTTTTGGTACCTGTCCTGGATCAGCTCTGTAGACCAGGCTGGCCTCAAAATCACAGAGATCCGTCTGCCTCTGCCTCCGAGTGCTGGGATTAAAGGCATGCACGCCGCCGCCTGGCTTTTCTGTACATTTAAATGAGATACATGTGCAAAGGTTTCTAATAGTATTCTCTACAGTAATAATGATCTAGACGGGACTATTAACCAATAGTAGGTGGATAAACTGTCATACTTTAATGTAAGATATACCACAGTAAAAATAAATGCTGTTTCCATGAACATTAAACACAGAATACTTAATAAAGTCAAAGAAGAATACAAAATCCCAAACTGTATTGTTTAAGAATATAAGCCAGGCGGTGGTGGCGCACACCTTTAATCCCAGCACTTGGGAGGCAGAGCCAGGCGGATCTCTGTGAGTTCGAGGCCAGCCTGGACTACTGAGTGAGTTCCAGGAAAGGCACAAAGCTGCACAGAGAAACTTTGTCTCGAAAAACCAAAATAAATAACTAAATAAATAGATGAAAGAATGAATGAATAACTAAAAATTAAAAAATAAATAAAAATATATATATACTGTTGGACAGTGATGGCATACGCCTTTAATCCCAGCACTAGGGAGGCAGAAGCAGGCGGATCTCAGTTCAAGGCCAGCCTGGTCTACAGAGTGAGTTCCAGGATAGCCAGGGCTACACAGAGAAACCCTGTCTGGGGGGTGGGGGTAGGGAGGAAGGGGTGTGTGTGTGTGTGTGTGTGTGTGTGTGTGTGTATTCAAAACTATAATGAACTACAAATTTACTCCCTGGGAAGGAAGAAGGCAGAGCATGGCATGGCAGTGGGGGTGGGGTGGGCAGTTTATGAGAGGCCAGTTTTAACCTAGGAGTTGCTACATGTTATCTTTTTGACTGTACATTTGTTTCCATATCCTGAATGCACAAACAAGTTTTCCATAAAATAGGAAAAAACTATATACAGCCAGGTATTTAAGCTATAACATTTATAGACAATCCTATTTATGCATACCTATATTTAAGAGCTACGAAATAATTTGCCTGGTAGCCACACTTTACTTTACTTAAATATTTCCATGTAATTGCCTAATATAGTACTGGGACAGAATATAACTCTGACATGGATTTATTTTGGCTGATTTGGGATATTAATGGTAGTTTGAAGACCTATTTAATCATCTCAGAATATTGTAACAAATCATCATAACCTAGATGTCTTATCAAAGTGTAACTCATCTGGTGTTCTGATGAGCGCTCTGTTCTTGGCTTGCAGACACTTGTGTCTTATCATCATGTCTGTACATGGTGAGCTCTCTGACGCCTCTACTTGTAAGAATACGAACCCTATTTGACAAGGGCCCCATCCTTAAGACCTCAGTCAACCTCAACAACCTCCTCAGAAGTCCCATCTCCAAAGACAACCATAATGAGGGTTAAAGCTTCAATCCATGAGCTCTTTGTGCACGGACAAAAAACCATTTAGTTAGTTAACACTTTTCTAACTTGATTATTTATTCCTCTGATTATTGCTATTGTGTACATGGAAATAGGTACCTCAACCCAAATGAGACATTGATTTCCTGAAATAAGGAAGTGATCTCTGGCAACTAAAGGGCAAGGAGCTGAGGAAGAATTAACTCCTCTGAGAAGGAAAGGCAAGGACCAAGCTCTACTGAAAAGGCAAACTGAATATCATCCTAACATCACACCAGTTTTGTTAAAAAACAAAACAAAACACAGCTCTTAAAAGATAGGAGAATACTGGAAAGACAGAAGCAGGCCATCTCTAAGTTCTAATGAATTCTTATAGTTATGAAGTATAGAACACATTTTTCAGTTATCTAGATTGTAGTAGCCCATAAGAAGGTGTGTGTTGTGGGGTACTAAATGAAGGATTTTGTAGATACTGGGTAAATAATGTACCTTTAAGCTTTAGTTTCATAATCAGTCCTAAATCATAAGGTAGCCAAGTTTATATATAATGGCATAGATTGACTTCAGATCACTTAAGTGTCTTTCAGTCTCTTCACTTACTAATGAAGAGCTTAATGAACTCTTTATAACCTGATAGGAACCTAAACAACTTTAAATAATTTTATGCATGAATATACACATTTGCATACTTATAGGCTTATAAAATGTCTACAAAAATATGGTTGCTGACACTAAAAACCACTGAGCAGTGGAAGGAGAGTAAAGACAGACAGAAATCAACCAACCTTCTTCGGTTGCGCGCAGGTGTGCTGCACCGTTCCCCTGAGAAGTGATGTGGGTTTGCTCGGACTGAAGGGGGCTGCCTATTTGATGTCATCTCCCATGGTCGCATTGGTGGGGAGGGAGCTGGTGATGCTGACGTATAATCAAAGACTGAATGAGAGAGGCGCTGTCTCTTAGGACTTGGACTATCTTCACTCTGCCAATGCAACAAAATGATCAAATGAAAAAACCATGTAAGAGCTTCCCATTACTGCATATGCAGTATGTATTTAAAAAGATAGTTGCCATAAAAAAATGAAGAACATACACTGCACTATCAATCCAAATTAAAAATCCTAAATTAAGAAATGTAGGGGCAGGGGCAAAGAGAAAAGGGGTTGCACAATAAATACTTACAAACCAAAAATGAAGTGTTTCTAAACTACCATGCTAGATAACATATAAAGTCTACAACTGAGCAGCTAACTTTTATATAGCACCTGACTTTCTAGAAGTCCTAACCCACCTGAGAAACGCCATTATTCTTTAGGTAGTGATGACAAGTTTGCTTAGGGAGAGGCCCTCCCCTCTTCCTGAGTAGACCCCGAAATTGATGCTAAATCACACACCTCTACCATTCTTGTTTGGGCTGTTACAGCTACTTCTTCCATGACAGTTACATGGACAAAATAAAGTTTATATAAAGCAGAGTCAACTGGTTAAGACTGATGATTCTTTTTAGAATGTCACAGCACTTTGAAAATATCCTCCAAGGTCACAGTGTAAGCTCTGTAGCTATAAAATTCATATGATCATGTAACTGCTACTAACTCCAGGATTCCCTAGTCAATTCAATTCCCAATTAAGTCTCACCAAAACGGACAAAATTCCAAATTAGCTGAAATCTGACAGGGCTATGTATTTTTGGAAGTACTGTTTCTATTTCTAACCTACACTCCCAAGTTCTAATTATTAGGCATTAGAGTACTTTTGGTTGGTTTACAAAATAAATTGTTTTTTGTGGTGAACACAAATACATCAAACATTAGCAAAATATACAGGGATACATACTACAATATTATTTTTTAAGAGGTTTGTTTTTATTTCATGTGTATGGGTGCTGTGCACCATGAGCATCCAATAACTATGCAGACCAGAAGAGGATATCAGGTCCTCTGGAACTAGAGAGTTACAAAAGGTTAGCAGCCATGTGGGTGCTGGGAACTGAACCCAGGTCCTCTGCAAGAGCAACAAGTGCTTTCAACTGGTGAGCCATCTTTCTAGGCCCAACAACATCATATTTTCAAAGAGATAAGAAACCAAATGATTTTAGGGACAAAGAAAATTAATACATGGAGCTGAGCCTACAGTATAATTCTAACACCTGGGAGATGAAGGCCAGAAGATGATAACCTGAGGTCATCCTTGGTTACATAGTAAGTTCAAGGCCAGCTTTATATTATATGAGACCTTGTCTCTTTAAAAAAAAAAAAGGCTACAAGGTTAAATTTTGACCTTTCCAAATTATTTAGCAAGTATTTCACCAATATATCACCTAACCTATACTCTTAATATTATTTAAGTATACATATTTTATTCTCTCTCTCTTTTTTTTTTTTTTTTTTTTGATTTTCGAGACAGGGTTTCTCTGTATAGCTTTGCAGCTTTCCTGAATCTCGCTCTGTAGACCAGGCTGGCCTCGAACTCACAGAGATCCACCTGCCTCTGCCTCTCAAGTGCTGGGATTAAAGGCGTGCGCCACCACTGCCCGGCATAGTATACTTATTTTAATAAGAAAGCCAGCTGTTATTATTCTGAGAGAGTCCCCAAACTTTAAGCACACACAAAGGCAAGCGATTACTGCCAAGTAGCTCAGGCAAGCCTCTAACTTGCTCTATAGTGAAGAATGACTTTGAACTCTAATTTTCCTGCCTCCTTGTCCCCAGTGCTTTGGTTACAGGCCCAGTTTATGCGGTACCCTAATACAGACATTTGTTTTTGAAGACAGTGTTTGAGTAACCCAGGCTGGCCTCGAACTCAGAGAGATCCGCCTGCCTCTGCCTCTCGAGTGTTGGGATTAAAGGTGTGCGCCATGGCTGCCTGGCGAGAATTCTTTACTATAACAGTGGGCTACCTTTTTCAATGTACCTGATGTCAACAACTTAAACGTGGTTCCTATCTCTACTGTACAGAACACTGGTACAGATTAGGTCAAGGGATGAAAGAAGGCAGGAGGGTATAGGTGTAGTTTAACAATCAACAACAGAAGCAGAGGCAGGTTCCAGGCTCTACCTGAGGACTAAAATGTGCCTGATTTAACAACCATTTTACTTTTCATTCCAAGAGAGGAAGGAATCAGCTTGTATTGGGAGGGGTGTAAAGGTCCATCTTGACTGTCAACATGATGAGGTAGAGAATAACCACGGAGTCAAGCCTGTAAGCATGTCTAAGAAAGTTTCGAGATGAGATTCGGAGGCGCGATCCATCCTAAGTACGGTGGCCCCATTCCCTGGGCTGGGGTGTTAGACTACACCAACAAAGGAAGCCCATTCTTGAATGTGGGGCACTCCGCTGCTTCACGTTCCCCCTGCCACAATGGACTCTAACCTCAAACTGTGAGCTAAAATCAGTTTCCCTGCCTAACTTAGTTATTTTGTTGCAGCAACAAGAAAAGAAACTTAGGTTTCTTCCAGTTTTATTCAAAACTTCATCTTAGAGCAAGCATAGCATGACCTAAAAGTCTCTAATTCTCCTTGAAACTCCCAGACTTTCTCTACGAGTCTTATCTTTAACAGAATATGAAGTTTCTCATTTTACCTAAAAAAAAAAAAAAAGTCAACTGAACATATTCCAGGGACAACAAACTCACTGAATTGTATCCACCTTTCATAAATGTGAGAAGGATAGCCCACCAAACCACAACACAACAACACAACACAACAGAAAGGGAAGAGGGCAGGGCTGGAGAGACGGCTTAGCACCTAAGAGCACATATTTGCTCTTCCAGGGTATGGCTCCCATTACCCAGGTAGGTGGATCACAAACCCTGTCACAACTCCAGGGGCTGTGTATGTGCTCACGCTAACATGTGCACATACACACATGCACACACTAGAGCACACACTCAAATAAAATCTTAAAAAAAAAAAAAAAACTTTTAGAAAGGTGGCAAAATAAAAGTTACAAATAAGGTGGTCCCGGTGGAGGCCTGTGCTGACCGCCCACACGCAGGTCTTTGAGTGGACGCACCCCAACATCTACCCCATCTATGATCTGCTGAAGCACGGGAAGTGACTGGTCCTGTGGAACCACAGCCGCAGGATCTCCATGACTCGGGCAACAGCCTATATCCGAGGGGAGTTTCGGTGAGGGTCCAGTAATGATGATGCACCAGAACCAGACCAACACCTCATTGCAACCAACATTTGCAAGTGCAGCTGCTTGGACAAAAGGGTGTAGCACATGACATACTGCAGCTCCCTGTATGACGGAGACAGGGACGACGGAGGAGGAGGAGCAGATTTTTTAAAAAATTTCTTTTGTTGTGAGGGAGGCTAGAAGGGTGGAGGGAGGACATGAAAGGACTGGGAAATGAGTGGGATTTCAGTACACGATGTGAAATTTCCAAAGAATCAATTTTTTAAAAATGTGTTTAAAAAAAATTACAAAGGAGTTATCTAGGAAAAGGCAAAGACAAGGAAAGAGAACATAGTAAGGGAATGACTTTCTGAGGATTTCCTTCTCGTGTGGTAACCAGATTTTATTTATTTTATTTAATTTTATTTAAGTATGAGTGTATGCAGGTAGCCTAGGAGGCCAGAACAGGATTTAAGATCCCTTACATCTGGAGTTACAAGCATTTGTGTGCTGTCTTAAGTGGGTGTTGGGATCCAAACTCCAATGTTCATAGTAAGAACAGAAAGTGTTCTTAACCACTGAGAATGTTGAGTAATGTCTGCAGCAAACCAGGTTTTTTAGGGGAGAAGTACAGTTGGAGCTAACAAATGACACTCATTTTGACCTGAGAATTAGCTAATGTATCAGTATCTCCTCAGGACTTCCTAAGATCGATCTTTCTCACCCAGAAAACCTACAGGGCAGTAACTGAGCACAGAAAATCTCTGGTCGTCCCTTAGAGAAAATACAGTGAAGGCTTTGCTCTAAAGGTAAAGGGAAGACTATCTAAGTACCATTAACAAAGTTATAATGCTTTTACTTTTCAATAAACCCCAGGGATTACAGTGTACCATATAACTCGTTAGAGGGAGTAATATAACTAGTTAGAGGGTATAGTATATGACTAGTTAGTTAGAGGGAGTGATGGCTAGTTAGTTAGAGGGTATAGTATATGACTAGTTAATTAAAGGGTATAACATATGACTAGCATGGGTAGAGCTCTAGATTCAGTTGCCAACAGCTTTAAAAAAAAAAACCACTAAGCACAGTTGGCTCTAACTTTAGCTTTATTGTTTTCTTTTTAAAACATGGGTTTAATCTACTGCATTTATAATTACTAAGTTTAAATTTAATAATATTAATTCCCAAAACCGCCAAGGGAATATGGAGAATACAGAAAATAAAAACTTACTATTAGTGCCAGTAGTTAAGTGTATTATTTAGAGACTTAATTTTGGATAGGGAAGATCCCTGGCTGGTCTGAAACTTACTATGTATACCAGGCTGTTCTCCAACTCAGAGATCTGTCTGTTTTTACCTCCCACACTGGGATTACATGCATGTGAGACCATGCCCAACCTTAAGTCAGTTCTTTTCCTTTCTTTTTTTTCTTCCTTCCTTTGGGTTTGTTTGTTTTTTGAAACAAAGTCTCTCTACATAGCCTTGGCTGTCCCAGAACGATATGTAGACCAGACAGATCTTGAACTTGCAGAAATCCATCTCCATCAGCCTCAGGAGTGCTTAGATTAAAGGTGCTGGCTACTAAGCCTGGCTTTAAATTTCTTAAGTATCAGTCACCTACCAATAACACTGAACTTCTGTGCACAGATAATTCTGTAATTAAAATGGCAGTCAATATGCCATTCAGTTCACAGACAACTAGGCCTCCTAAAAAGTTACGTGTTAAATACTTACAAAATGTATTTATAGAAATGCATGTAGCTATTTAAAGGTAATATGATATAGAAAACACAACACAGCGAGAATCAGATGAGTCCCTTGATCCACCAATAACTGGATGAACTGTGCACCTTGGTGAACTTTTTAAAGCCTATTTCCTTACCCAGAACAAGATGCCTATTTTATTCTGAGTTGAAAACATGGACAATAAACACATACAGAAAATCCACCACAAATTCTAAAAGGATACCAGACTGAAGTGGCCTGGATCACCTACAGGTACTGACAGAAATAACACATGCCAGACTTAATGTATTCCTTTAACACCAGTTCCAGGTCATTTCTAGAGAAAACTAAAAATGAGTGGTTTCTATTGAAAACATTTAGTCTTGATCATCAACTATGTCAATACTTTGGGCAGGCTTTCTATACACACACACACACACACACACACACACACACACACACACACACACACATACACACACACACCAACCCCTACCTACCATTCAAAAGTGATTCTGTAGATGTGGCTTGTTCTGTAGTAATAGTAATACTGATTTCCATTATTAAAACATGATTCTTTAGGAGTCAAAGTTCAGAAGCCAGTGATTTGTATGAGCAGATCCAAGTAATCTTGTTAATCCAACGATGATTTTAATATATGTGGACTGGTTTTCACTTTATATTAAAATCTTTTTTTTTTTTTTTTTTTGTGGTTTTTCGAGACAGGGTTTCTCTGTGTAGCTTTGCGCCTTTCCTGGAACTTACTTGGTAGCCCAGGCTGGCCTCGAACTCACAGAGATCCGCCTGCCTCTGCCTCCCGAGTGCTGGGATTAAAGGCGTGCGCCACCACCGCCCGGCTAAAATCTTAACACCCTTTTTTTTTTTTTTTTTTTTTTTTTAAATCTACAGGTACAAAGAGGTACAGAAAGCAAGTACCTATGTACCCTCTCAGGAATATGTATCACTATAACATTCTGGGCATTAAACATCTAAGTAGTGATGGCTTAAAACACATGCTTTCATTTTTTCCTTCTGTACACACCTTACATATTTTAGTACTTTCTATTTTCTTACAGAAACTGAATGATTAGGACAAATGATTAAGACAAAAAAGTTTTTTTTAAACAGAATATTCAGTGGTCAAATAATGAACAGTAGCTCAAGAGAAGACACTTTTCAGAATTGCTGGCTGGAAGGTATACTGAAGAAGTCAGTCCTCTAAGAAGAGCATTTATTCCCACAGACAACAGAAACTCAGAGGCTACTGAGAAGTCTGTTTAAGCCTTCCTAGAAACAAGCTAGGATGGTGGCTGTCGGCCCTGTGTAGGGAAAGGGTAAACATATAAGAACCTGGAAGAAGAAAGCTTTGAAGGGAGCATCCTCTTGAACGGTAGTGTTCTGATCACTTGGGAGAAGAGGGAACAGGCTCGGAAGTCTCACCCTTTCACAAATCCCCTTGTTAGGATGGCCAGGCAGAGGTGCTGAATTGGCCCCGGGAGATATCTGGGAAAAAGAGGGAGAAGAAAAGGATAGTTCATGGCTAGCCATACCAATATGGACAATCAAGCCTAGGAAGGACAGTCTGGACAGTCTGGGTTTTGTGGTATTTGACAATTCTGTCAGCAGAGAGATTGGGGGGGGGGGGGTAACTTTAAACATCAATACATACAGGAGGTAGAGACCGCCTCTAGCAATGGAGCTTCCCACACAAAAAGGCTTGAGATAAAAACAGCACAGTTCAGGAACTTAGGTCTTATTCCTCAAAATTCCACTGATGAGCTCTTTCGTTGGTGTTAACTCTAAAACCCCAACAGTCAGGTTTCATGGTAAGAAGACCTGAGGTAAAATCACCTAAGTATAGTGATGAATGTCTACCTAGACTCTTTTTTTTCTCAATGTATTTTTACAACTTTTAGTTGACCTTACAAGTGACCATGGTGAAAAAGATAAGATTTGACAATATCTATAGTAAAATTTCCATACTCTCAGCTGTAAGACTGTACAACATATAACATATAGTAATCTTAAGTTTAACTGGGGATGGCATCTCCACTCTATTAAACTTTAGCTATGTTCAGTCAGTACTAGGGAGACTGAGGCAAGAATATCCCAAGTTCTAAGTCAGCCTGGGCTAGAAATCAAGATCCTGTTCTCAAGATTAAAAATTTAAAAAAGAGAAGAAAATCTTCAAACAGTAGGGAAAGGACAAACAACAAAAACGAGGGAACCAAAGACACATGCCTAAGCCTGAAAGTGAACAAATGCCGCTTAAAGACGCTAGACTGTGGGTTCAACTCCTTAAACTTGTGGGATACTTAACCTGTAGCATCTGAGAACCACTATGTTGTGACAGTGAAATTCTCCTTGGGGACTCCAGGTTTAAGGATGTGCTTGTCCTCACACTAAAAACCATGTGCTCACCACTGTCTGGCTTCTACAGTTCCTGCCTCACTCCTTCCCTCAGTGTTAGGATTTAAGGGTCTCCTCGGCACTGACAGGCACTAAACAAAAAGAAAGGCATCGTTTGTTTCCTACCTTCAAGAAGTATACACCGTAAAAGGAGGAGGAGAGGGGGAAAGACAGACAAACAGGTAAATCATCGTATGTAAGTATTCTGACAGCAGCAGACGCTGAGTGCGCTGCTCTGGTAATGGGACGAGAGCAGTGTAGTAAGGAATCAGACAACTTTCAGTATGGTGGACAGTAAAGAAGAGGTTAGATAGGAAATGTTATAAAATGTGCTGTGGTCATCTCTAGCCCATCTGTAATTTTGTGGTTGGTGTGTTATAAACCTGATAGATAAGCGTATCTAGTGATAAGAACAAAAATACTGCCAAAGGCCCCACTACCACCATTCAGAAATTACAGGAGTACTAGTTAGTTTACTACACAGAATGTTTTGGATATAACTATAGTTTATCTCTGTATCGCAAACACAATATGCTAATGTTCTTTACCTTTATGAGTATGTACTGATGAATAAAGTAGTATTTTCTGCCTTTCAAGAGCTAAGAGACAGAAAGACACACACACACACACACACACACACACACACA